ATTCTACTCTCTGAAGACTGAAGAGTGACAACTGTGTACCGTGTGTGTAAACAATACCTTAAACGTCGATACCATGCCGCAGATACTCCGTATTCGTAAACGGCTGAGGCACTGATGAAAGTACTGAGTATCGAACACCAGTATCGTCGTTTAAGAAAGAATTAAATACCGGTGCTATTGCTCCGTATACGGACACAGTATGCTAAGAGCTATGTTTTTGTCAACGCACAGGCTTATTCCGACCTCGGGAAGCCTATTCTCTTCCGACAAAAATCGACTTTCCCGACCGACCCACAGTAATCCGACAAAAAATCGACTTTGCTGGACACCATGAAATATGGTCTTGAGACACCCACGCTACATAACCCCCCCCCCCCGATAAAAGATTAAAATAATTTAAATTCATTTCAACTATATCTATAATATATTGATTCCAGTTCGCCGGTAGCCTGCCTGTCTATGGTGTACTGTTGGTGAGAATCTTGTCTTGAATGAGCAGCTCTATCCCCTGGGGGTTGAAGAAGTCCCGCACACGGTGTGTCCTTATTTCAGCAGGACCGACGCAGCTGATATTCCAAATGATCGAAACTATGCTGAGAGGGCATCAAACATCAGTAACATATTCTCCACAAGCAATGATTTACATTTCTTTTGTTTGGAGACTTCGCTGGCACCACGTGGCAATGTATGTCCATAAGTTTCCTCCCTTTATTGTATTTGTGCCATTTAAAGCCTGAATGTCACAGCTTTAAATTCTGTTTATTTTTTCTGTTGTACACACATAAAAACCCCCGCACACACACAAAAACACCAAAGTAGTACAAACAAAAAAGCATTAAAAAATTCTTAAACAAAAAGACTACAATTCTCAGCAGTAAGGGTCATCTTATGGGAGGGGGGTGGGGTAGGTGTTTGTGTCGTCTCTGTATGAACAAAACGTCTCAAGTTGAGAAAGGTCCCTCACAGGGTTCGAACTCTACATATCTGCATAACATCCTGATGTTATTGAGGCTCCAGGGCAAGGTAGAGCAAAAGAACCACTTTGGATTTGAACTAATACACCGAGGTTCATGAGTGTCCGGCATAATGGTTCGGTTCTTCAACTTGCCCACAGAAGACAGCAAAAAGACAATGCTCCTCAATAAAATCGTTTCCCCGTACATGTGAACTGGTCTCATTATGTATGTATGGCTAAGAGTCTAACTATTTCACATGTATTCGCATTCCAAGAAAATAACAAAAACCGAGAAAATAATCTGACAAGGACAGTTTTATTTCCCTGCACTTTGCAATACACAAGATAAATGATAAATAGAGAAGAGAATAACATTGTTAATTTTATTATGACGCTATGAGGAGTGAATATGTAAGCCATATTTGCTAAATCTTATGACTTTCCTACAGGACTTGACTACGTTCTTCCTGTGAACATGAAATTCAGAGAGGGTCCCCCCACCAACCCCCCTCCTCCCCACAAACAGGTCATCTGACTATACAAGTGACACTACTAATATTATGCTTCACGGAAGGGGGCCGGTGGGGAGCTCGTCTCTTGTACATTGAGACACACAACACAAGTTCAAAGTTGGATTTCAACTCAGTTCTTAAAACTGTGTCCACCTCTAGAATAAAAAACGTGATCACTTTGTTTCTCGGCGATCAGTCTGTCAAGACAAACAGAATTTCGATGAACCAGTAACAAAATTGTCTCTCTCATAATATAATGGAGCTATAATTAGCTTTTACCGTATATATTGAAATAGAGTAAGTCTTAGTGCTGGGAATCTCGGATGCCAGATGCATAGAAGGTAATGATAACACAGATGAAAAGATAGTAGAAATCAATTCAGAGATGATAAAAACATAAATTTGACCCAGACACACACACACACACACACACACACACACACACACACACACACACACACACTCTGTCTCCCTCACTCTTTCTTTCTCTCTCTCTCTCCCTCGCTCTCTCTCTCTCTGTGTCTCTCCACCCCACTTTCTTTCTCTCTATCTCTCCGCCACCTCCCACACACAGACACAACACAAACATTCTCTTTCAATATCTAACCCTCAGTCAAGCTTTCTTCCTTTCCTCCTCTTGTTCTGCTCAACTCAAACGTGTTCTCCTCGCTTCCAGCCTCCTCTCACTCGCCCTGCCCTATGAAGTGTGCGCAAGATGAGAGTAGCCAGTGTGTGAGTCTCAGTTCAACACAAGTCTTCCGTGAGGTAAATGTGGTTAGTTCCCCTCTTGCGGCAGTGAGAATCGTCAAAGCAAAAATGAAACGGAAACAAGAAATACATACCAAAAATAAACAACAAATAATTATACAGTATGCATGAAATCTTTAAGGCCAGTGAAAACAAAAAACAAAACAAAACAAAACAAATTACTCCCTACCCCAAGGTAAAGCACTGGTTTGTCACAAGCACAACATACGATAATGTTGTTGGAAAATATCATGAAATCTTACAACAATTATGACGTCAGCTGAAACAAGAACACCAAGAAAAAAACAAACACATTTCAACTTTGTGAATACATGTAACAACTATAATAATCATGTAACAAATATGGTAACGTTTGTCTAAATCACAAGCCAAACGACTCCAGCCTCAATAAAGAAAAGTGTTCGTGTGACTTGTAACGTACACAAACAATACAGACTTATATGGTACATGTACAAAGGGTTTGTAGGCAGAATAAAGATTCTTGTGGAGTCCGTAATGGACATCCTCCTCAGTAAATCAAAGACATTGCACAGACTTATGGTACAAGTTGGACAGGGGAGTGGGAAGGGAGATGTCGATCAAACAGGCTGCCCATGATTTTCATATTTACACGCGTTGGTGCTCTAGTGGACAGACAGTATTGAAATCTCCTCATCAGTGATGATGACAAGAGTTGAACATTTCACTAACGCAAGTACAAAAGAGGGATAGGAGTCCTTGTTTTGCTACGAAATGGCGATCAGAACTCCAAATTAACTGTAATTCTGGTATAGATACTTCACATCTTCATTGACATACCTTGAAGGGTGTCTGGGTACATTTTTACTTCCACTCCAGCACACAGATGCACTGCTTTGAGGGTCAAACAGCAGTATTATTTGCTGCAGATCACACACATATATCAAATCGATTATTTTCAAGAAAATTTCAAACCTAACAGCAAAACCCCAAATTATAACTGAAAACAGGGGGAAATGCCCCCCCTGAAACTCCCTGATTGGTCCAAAGCGCTGCAATTATAATGCAATTAGGCTTGGTGTAATTAAGTTCCATAAAAAAACATTAAATATTTTTCAAAGTATTAATTTGCAATGGAAATGAAGTTGATATTCGTGTTCAACGCACCAATATGTAGTAGGAAATGGACACATCGTTGCTAAATGTGGAACGGGAGGGAAAGTAAACGAACACTCGGGTCACATGGGTGCAGGGGTCAAATTTGTGAGAAAATTGCCTTCAAAGATTAGTTATTTCCTTAGTTTGAGAGTGCATGGAAACTGAAAATTTAAATTTTTTGTGCCTTTCACGTTTTTCAATAAAATCCCCAGAGAAAGGTGCATTTTAATGGGCATGGAAGGTGTTGAGTGAAAAAACAATAATGCAATGCAAACTCACAAATCTACGGGAAAATGCCAGTTTCTTCACTTTGATTATTTTGACGAGCTCCTGTTTTCACCACGCTGCCTCCCAAATTGTGTTGACAGTGGCATTAAAATACCTACGCGATTTTTTAAATTTAATAATATATACAAAGACAGTTAAACGTCGATATAAATGTTCTCTGTTCAGCTACAAAATTTTAGTTTAGTTTTAGTAAGAGTTGTACGGCACTTGCAACACAATAAGGTCATATTAGTGCCGAAGATTAGAGGTGTTACAAGAGAGTAACAAACATAAAAAAGGAGGAGAGATAAAGATGATAGATATTTGATAGGAAAGAAGAAGCAAGCCACACCAGAGCACCCGTCAACCACCCAGAGACCCAAGATTTTAAACATCTTAGCGGAGGTACGGGTTGGCCAAAAAGAGTGAAACTACTTAATGGAACTTGGGGCTTCAGAAAGTGAACTTAACGGCCGATAGTACGTTTTAAGCAATATAATACATTATACAGAGTCTTATTGTAACTTTAAAAATATACAAGAACAATATTACTTGTGAGTACACACACACATGTGTGCTGTCACTTCTAGACATACAGCTAGACACAAAAGTCTGACAAGAAAGCTACTTGAAGATTTATGAACGATTCAAGAAAAACAACAAGTATACAAGGTAAAATATCATTATGGAATAAATAGCCCACTGACAGAGTAAGCGAGGGTCAATCATTCGTTCATTATGCTAATATGGCATCTGATAAAGACTATAACATGACTCTTAGCCGCAAAAATCTCTGACTGTGGTCGAAGTAGGTACACGTTGCCCACCAATAGTGTAGCTTCAGTTTTAGAAATGGGTGAAAAGTATACCGAGGAACATGTATAATGTTCTGGTTTGGCTTCAAGACTCACCCTTTAGCCACGATAACTGTGCTCGTCTTCAGATAGATCTAGTTGCAAAGAAACTGACTTCTAGATCCTTTGCTATTATCAGCTCAGAATTCAATATTTTCTGCCACTGCCAAGAACAAATCAAATTCTACGTACATTGCCATTAACGCTTGGTTTTGCTGTTGTTAGGATAAATAACATGTTCATCTGGCAGTGATACAGGGCTACAGACGCGGCCTACATTACGTCTGCATACATGGTAAGCAAACAGTTGGGAGTTCCACTGTCATTGTTAAGCGCGTTCTCTACAATTATTATAAACATTGTTACATTGGGGGGGAGTTGTTGAGTGATGAAAGCTTAGCATTTAGCATTTCGCCAGCTTATGTGCGACTCCGTCATATGCCATTTTTGGAAAAGTGACGTACGGCCAGGTCTCACACTGAGAAGCTACATATGATTTCAGAAACAAAACAAAAACCAACATGAACATTGCAGAAGTTGTTGTGGTAATGGCACTTTGTTTTAGAAAAGAGTGATGGTCTTGACTGGTCAGCGGGTCTCGACTGGTCAGCGGGCCACAGGGTCGGGTTGTTGTTCTGCACGTGGAAGGAGAGAAGATCTGTCTTTCTCTACAACACAACAACAAGTCACATGCTCAGAGCACCAGTGCTTGGAGAGCCTTCTTCCCACACCACAGCCATGGGGCTACTCAAACATTCTTGTGAATATCCTCCAGCTGCGAGTACAAATGTATCATGGTGAATATACTCCAGCTGCGAATATACACTGGTGGTGAATATTCTCGAGCTGGCTCCGGCCTAGTATCACGGTGTCCGCGCGGAGATCGCGGAATGATGTACTCTACTCTGTCCTCGTCTCTCTCTCTCTGAATAGGCTTCTCACTCAGAAGGTTCCTCACTCTCCACCACCATCACTGTTAGGGCCCATCCAACACTCACTGGGCAGGGTGGCAGACACCACAGGAAATAAACTTGTTTGTAGTTGATGTGGTTCAAACAGGAGCCTCATAATATGTGGTTTTGACACCGGCCTTCAGGCCCAGGCTGGGAGAGTTCCTTTAGCGACCAGTGGCTACTGATGACGAGGTCTTTAGACTTTAGTCTCGGGCCCGCTAGTAGCTTCCTGTTTGAAGGACTCGCGAAGTCTATCCAGGAAGTTGGCAGAGATGTGGCCAAAGATCTTGCTGTACCACTCTGGTGTTCTTCCCCTGTGAAAGAAAAGGTCACACAAATATAAGATAAGATAAGATAAGATAAGATATGATACTTTATTGTCCCAGTGGTAAAGTTTTTCTTGGCTCTACAGGAACGGTAAAAAACAGAAGACTCAAAATCACGCATTCATCAACTTGCGCCTGCGGTCTCATTTTTTGTTTTTTTCTTCTTTATCTTCGTCAGATTTCCCTCGAACTATGGATCCCTCGAACTACTGAGGCTGGTCCCAATGACATCGATCTATCCGTGTTATACTGTATTTTGCTAGACAATTCAATAGCTGAGGATAAACTGTTCCTTTCAGCTCTGTACTGTTACTTCAGCTGGGAAATTGCAACATGTGCAATTTTTATTTAGCAGGAGAACTATCATAAATAAGTACCAAATGATTTGGTCTCCAAGGAAAACTGTTTTAACATCTAGAAGAGGTTGTGTCTAACTAGAATATTACAGAAAGAAACCATGTTTCTGAGACAACTACTGTGCTGCCTGAGTTTAGTTTTTAGTTTTAGAAAGAGTTTTACAGAACTCGCAATGTAAGTAGGCCACGCAAGTGGTGAATATCAGAGCTGGAGAGTGCCGTACTATGGGGAAAGAGGAGGAGAGATAAGGATAACAGATGTTTGATAGTAGAGAAGAAGGAGAGATAAGGATAACAGATGTTTGATAGTAGAGAAGGGGCAAACCATACCAACACACCTACCAACCACCCACAGGTACCCGCTAGAGCAGAAATCGCAGTCAATGATGGGTAAGTTGTACTACACTCCACCCACCAGCTGACCTGCTGTTTGTCTGTTCTTTTGTCTATGCGTATATAGTTTAGTTTGGTAAGAGTTTTACGGCGCTCTCAACTACACAAGATCATATTGAGAGTGTGCATCTATGTGTGGGTTTTTTTAAAAGTGTTTTTTTTTCGAGGGGTAAGTGTTTTATGGCGCTCGCAACTGCATAAGGTCATATGAGCGCACAGGACACATTAAACTTTTTCAGTTGATAGGAAATTTTGAAATTTGCCCGGGTGGCGGCCGAAGCCTACTCTTATCGATTTAAGACCACCAAGGGATCTTTAATGTGCACAGCAAGGACACGGGCCCTTCGAGATTTTCCTCCCTTGTCCGAGAAGGCTAGGTGTAGATCTTTCCTACCAGAAGATCAGGGGTGTGACTGAAAGACAGCAGTAAGAAGGAGCCTAGGAGTTGCAGTAGAAAGGCTGCAGGAAGAATCAGGAGCCCAGAGGAGGGGGAAAAAGGAGGTGAGAGGGAGGGAGCAGAAAGAGGAGACGAAAGCAGACGACAGAACATTGCCAGAGAGCAGAAGGAAAGGAGGTGAAAGAAAACAATTTTTAGAGAAGAAAATTTTTTGTTCGCTACCCGGATTCGAACCCCGGACCTTTGAATGAGAAGCCAACACCTAAACCTCTAGGCCACGAGAGCCAATGTATTTGTGTGTAAACATTGTGGGGATACATTCCGACTCCACTCCACCCGCCAGCTCACCTGGAGTCCACCCGCGTGATGTAGGTCAACCGTGACCGGCCCGACCCGCAGGGTTCCATGAGGAAGTAGGAGCCCAGGTCGACCGCCCGCACCCCCTGTACCTCCATGGCGTCGGCGTGCTCCACGGACATTGTGATCAGAGCACACGCCCCCTTGGTCAGGTCACTACGCCAGTATCTGGGGAAGGGGAAAGAAACATTTTTTTTTTAAATTTCTTTTTAACTCTTTATCTCCGGCCAGCCATTCCCAGCAGCTGACGATTGGAACCACTCTGCCGGTGAGTCACTGACAGAGGCTCGGTCGCATTCCTTTACGATGACTTTTTCTACATCAAATTACTTTTTGACAATTGGCGGAAACAGGTGTTTTTTATAGGGAGTTCATTCATTAGATGAAAAACCATCAAAATGGGTTGACTAGTTTTGATCTTATGACCCATTTAGTGGCGTTTTTGTCATTTTAAGCTTTGGTACCAAAAAAGGGACCCGCCATAGTGGGTTTACCTCCCACGGAGATAAGGAGTTAAATATAGTATATCATGGATAGGTCGAACACAGAAGAATCGAAATCACGCATTCGTCAAACTTTTCCTGTGGTCCTGTTGTGGTTTTTTTCCGCTTTATCTTCGAAAGACATTACTCGAAATACAGATCCCTCCAACTACTGAGACCCGTCCCAACGAATTTGAGCTATCCGTGTGTTATACATTGATGTTTTTGTGTCCCTCATTGACACAGTCTAGATTGTTCAGGAGGCGAGACTCCAACCCTGCTTGTTCGGGCTAACTGGGGCCGAGAGGGATACAACATCCCAGCAGACAGACCCGGGCTGAGAGGGATACAACATCCCTGCAGACAGACCCGGGCTGAGAGGGATACAACATCCCAGCAGACAGACCCGGGCTGAGAGGGATACAACATCCCAGCAGACAGACTGAGATACTCAATAAAAACTTTTCCTCACTCAGGAAATGAACTTGGGTCTTCTGTGTGAGATAACAAGGTGTCTAAGCACTACACTAGAGACGCTGGTGTATCGGGCCAGAACGTAATCACAATGTCAAGCTTTCATACTACTTAACCCTATCCATACATTGTGTTTTACTATCGTATCCATACGACGGGGGGAACTCTGTGCCATCACTTTCCAAAGAGGAAATTTACTCGTTAATTCGATCCGTACGCTTGGTGTAGCAGTCTGTCAAAATGATTTTTGGAGAAATACTGAAAGTTTCAAAGGGATCTTCGTACTAGAAGTACTCTAAAAAAATGACCCCAGGGAGTGCAGATAGGGTTAAGGGTTGTTTTAAATAAAGACAAACAAGTCAAGGTGATAATGATGACGATAATAGTATTCATTATAATAGTAGTAACAATGATATTAAAAGTTAATATGGGTTTATCAACCCTCTCAGTATTGTGAGACTATACAAGAGGTGGCAATGCCAATATGAGAGGCAGCGGGGTGAAATCAGGCGTTCGTCAAAATAATCAAAATCAAGGAACTACTTTTTTGCTGAAGGTTTGGAAATTCTTATCCAATTTTTGTTTTTTGGCTCAACACCTTTCCAGCCAATGAAAGAACACATTTCTGTGCGAATTTTTACTGAAAACATTGATTTAAGGTATTAAAGGTAGAAAATGTGTAAATTTTCCATTTCCGCAGACTCTTAAGCTAAGGAAATAACTCAACTTTGGCAGTTATTTTCTCGCTATCTTTACCTCTGAAACCAACAACCCCTACCTCCTTCAAAAGCCAATATCTTGACTTGCATCCAAGATAAATGGATATCATTGTCATCAAAAGCAAGGCAAATGGACAGCCTATTAGATGATACAAGTACCAATAACTCGATATGCCCAAAGATAGACAAGTGCCTGATCTGACCGCGTCGTGACACATATTATAATACAATAATATAACAACATAAATGATAGGAAAGGAAATGTAACAGTTGTGTTAATTGTAAAGAAGGACTTTTTTTTTTTTAGTGCCACACTGTTTTGTATTTTTAAAACTCAAACAAACAAAAAAACAAAACAATCAAGGACAAAATCAAAGTAAAGAAGTTTGGTCCAGTCTCACCTGAGCACACAGTAGTGCCGCGAGGGGTGTGGTGCCATGCTGTTGAGGACGTACTGGAAGATGTCCGAGTGAGGGTCCATTCTTTCCACCACTGACCAGCTCAACAAGTCCTCGTCCCACGCATGCCTGGACACACAAACAAGACACAATAACGAACACAATAACGAACGAAATATGAACACAATAATGAACAGAATCATCAATTAGAGCAAATAATTTTAATACTGGACGCATTTTTTTTCCTAATAATTTGCAAGAGTAGTTATTTGATTTGTTAGAAACAGGTGATTCAAAGTGTTCTGAACAGTGAAAAGGAAGAACCCATTGTTGGCTAATTAAGCCAAGAAAGCAACATTTAAAAAAAATGTGTTTTTTTTCGAGAGAGAGAGAGAGAGAGAGGGAGAGAGGGAGAGAGAGAGGGGGAGAGAGAGAGAGAGAGAGAGAGAGAGAGAGGGAGAGAGAGAGAGAGAGAGAGAGAGAGAGGGAGAGAGGGAGAGAGGGAGAGAGGGAGAGAGAGAGAGAGAGAGAGAGAGAGAGAGAGAGAGAGAGAGAGAGAGAAAGTGCTCCATTCTTTTAATAGCAGTACCCACATTGTGCATCTCCTCTTTGGGGGGGGGGGGGGGGGGGTTCAACATGTAGAATTTGAATTTTGACAAATTATTTCTTGAGCTAATGCAACCGATACTGCAGATAGAGAGACTGCAAGTTTACAATAAAAGTGGGATGAAAGAAGAGTAGGCCGCTAGTGTGTACCTTTCGTGCATGATCCTCCTCAAAACCTCAATGGGAGGGGCTTCAATGTCGACCACCAGCTTCCATTCCTTGAGGGGGCAGTCATCCAGAGGTTTGCGATGACTCACTTCAATATCAGCAATGGGAGAGCACTGCATCCAGCCCTTGTTCTTGTCGTGGGCCTCCTGAGAATGATAAAGTTCAGCTTTAGCAACGCATGTTCGCTATTTAAACACTAATTTAAAAACAATATGCCCAATTAGCTTTGCATGCATAAAGGGCAAGCAATAGCAAACAGATTTTCAGGTCCTGAAATTTGTCTTATAGTGTATGTATATTCTAGGTATTAACAAACTACATATTACAAAATTGGTTTTATACAGTATACAAACTACATATTACAAAATTGGTTTTATACAGTATACAAACTACATATTACAAAATTGGTTTTATACAGTATCATGTATATTCTAGGTATTTACAACACGCAAACTTTGTGCATAACAAAAAGATTTCTTTGTTTCCCTAATTTCTCTCTCTGCAGCTTGACTGATGCTTGACCAGTGCTGACCTTGAGCACCATCTGAATCCTCTCCTGGCCAAAAGCTCTCACTTCCGAGGCGGGGTCGTCCCCACACAAGTCTTGCAGCGGTGCGGGCTCCATGTGTGCCAGTGAGTGGACTTGTAGTTGGCGGAACAGGTTGAAAGGGACCTGGTAGAAAGCGCAGTGCAGACCAGGATATAATAATCATAATAATAACAATAATATTATTAAAGATGACATTCATTAATAATAATCATGATCATCAACATCATCATCATCATCATCATCATCATCAAGGTAACTTCTTTAGCGCCCACTCCCAGGAGGCGTTAAGTGCTCCTCAGTAAAATATAAAGTAGATCTAAATTAACGGACCCATTCAGGGAGCAACAATTTATTCAAATACATTTATTAAAGGTGATAGTGACAAAAAGAGTTCTTACATCATGGAGGCTGTAATAAGTTGGGTTTTTTTAAGCTTCACGAAGAGTTTTACAGCCCTTGCTACACACATTTTAACAGTTCATGTAAGCGCCAAAGATTAGAGGTGTCACGAGAGGGTAACATACGCAGAAAACAAGGGGGAGGGGTAATTGTCACCATTTTTATACCAGCAAAATTTCAATTATGGAACATCACAAATGAGCTCTATTTTCTTTTCACATTCTATTTTCCTAACCTTTATAGGTTTATGACCTTTATGTGCTTGCTTTCCATATTTTGAAACCACGCAATTGTGGCGGACACCACGGCTATATGTTAGAGGTGCGGAGAGGGCTAAAACCCACTTATTCTTCTATAAGGTGAAACTTGTTATGGATTTGTTTCAATCCCACTTGAATAAATATTTTATTTCGTCTGAACAAACTTAGACAGAAACATCTTAGCAATGAAGGGTTAAAAAAATAATAAAGAGCGTCACAGGCTGTAGTAATAATAAATAAATAGCCTTTGTATAGCGCATATCCCCGCTCAACAGCATGCTCTCTGCGCTTTACACTATATTAATACCCCAGCACTCAATAGAACACTCAGAAACATTCTCAGCTTCCTGGGAAGCATACAGTGCCAGCAGATGATTAAGTATTCAAACACTAACAAACTGACAAGATCTTTCACTGTCTATAGCTGGGTACCCATTCCCACATGGGCGAAGTGAGGAAAATTCATGTAAAGTGCCTTTCCCAAGGACACAACGTCAGACTCCTGACGGGATTCGAACCCATGACCTTATGGTTGCGAGTCTGACAGCCTAACCACTAAGCAGGAATCACAGTGAAATTTTTCGCTAACCCCTGCGGTCGACCCGATAGACTTCCATAAATATTGTGCACCCCCCCCCCCCTCCTTTCCCCATCAGTTAAAAAGATGCCAAATAAACCCAAATATCTTTCGTATGACCTTGTGAATAAAGAACTATCTTCAAAAGGCGTTCCTCACTCGCAAACCAAAGACGGAAGATTGCAAGAAGAGGCGAAAGGTAGTTCCGGTTCTCCTCCAATCAAAGGAGGGTGTATGTTTTCTATACTGTTCATGATTTTCTTTTTTGTCGAGCCGTCTCACTCACATCCGGTCTATGATAGGCCGAGTTAAGTCAGATCCGTGGATCGCAGAGCGGTTTTGGGCCGATCTCAGGCTACTCAAGTCCTGCCTGGGCCTGACTTCAGGTTATGACAGCGGAGCCGATTTTGGGAAGTTCTTGCAACTGCGGAAAATCGAGGACCTGCGGAAAACTATGATCGCTGACGATGCCATCGATTTAGTTTGTGTGTACTCACAGTGAAGGCTATCGGTGTAGTTTGTACTCACAGTGAAGGCTATCGGTGTAGTTGATACTCACAGTGAAGGCTATCGGTGTAGTTTGTACTCACAGTGAAGGCTATCGGAGTACTCACAGTGAAGGCTATCGATGTAGTTGGTACTCACAGTGAAGAGTTTCTTGCTGTCCTGGATCATCATGGTGAGACACTCATGCGCCGCCTTCTGCTCCAAGATCTCCCGAGGGTCTGGCATGCCAGGCGAGTTCTTGCGGTTCCGCTTGGGGCTGTGAGTGGCCGCCTGGCGAGAGCCCAGCATGAACACGGTGGGTGTGAAGCAGACGGCCAGGTTGCTGGCGTTCATCTGGGCACAGGGAGAAATAGAGATATAGATA